GTGAAGGGCGAGCGGGGGTGATGGGGAGAGTGGCGACATGTGCGTGTTCCCTGCCTTCCCTGTCCAGTCCATCTGTGTGTGTTACTACATTATCCAGATATAGGATTTAATGTCAGCCTACACAAACCTAGCCTGACCCGCCTGCCCTCCCTTCTCCTCAAGCCCTTTAAAGGAGATGTATTCAGAACCTGAGAGACGGGCGACCGCAGCTGAAATAACCAGCGTTGCCCGGCAGCGGTTGCACCTTAATGGGATAGACGACGGCCTCTTTGATTAATCGCTTTGCGTCTCTCCAGGCCGATGATGTCTCCAGCGCACGTTCGGGGCGGTACGCAGATAGATGTCTTTTAGGGGTGAACCACACCACACGAGAGAACAGGCAGAATGAAGCATCTGTGGACAGCTCAACATCCTGGTGAGATTAGGAGTCCATTTGCTGTCCTTTTAGAGTAAAGGGAAATAGATAGAACATGGGCTTCATTAATACAGCAGATCAATTTAACCCGAACAAAGCACTTCACTGCCCCTGGTGGACATATTTGGTAACAAACTTCAAGTATATAATTTTCTCACATGAATGGAGCCAAACTTAAGATAAATAAGGATTTTTTACGTGTAATGCCGATGAATGTTTGCCATGCATTGTTCAGGAGCTTGAAATATAGTGCTGTGTGTGTCGTGTGTGGTGCTGTTGTGTGTGTGTGGTGTGTGTGTTTGTGTGGTCGTGTGTTGGTGATCATTTCATTACCCCGCCTGATGATGGCAATGCCGAGTTCTCTCATCCCACCGCTCATGCCCAGAGCAAAGCACGAGGGGCTGGTCAGCAGCCGCTCCTCGTAACCAGCATTAAGATTGATATAACGAATGTTACGTGTGGTCCTACGTGAGTTTAAGCTCTTTCATATTATTTGAGTTGGATTGTTAACATGAATTGTGTGCCATCAAATGTCTCATAAATATCACTGACATTGTTTTATAATTCACCATGTGGTCTAAGTCACTCCCCGTTCCCTTGGATGACACTTTGGCCTTCAGTCACTCTGGCCCTGAGAAAAAAGATTTAAACTCATTAAAGTACAAAAGTAATGAAAAGAAAATAACTCACCATAGTGATTAACGTTTCACATTTCTAGTAAGACGGTGTGTAGATATTTATGAGTCCGCAATGGTGTCCCATTTGCTTACATGAGGGAATTTGCATTTGTTTGCTATTTCATGTCACCCCCAAATACAAAAGGGCGTCCTAGTCTAGTTTCTAGAGACTCATCAATAAAACCATAAGTACATAAAGGTTATTCTGTCAAACCTTCTACTTACAGCAAGGACAGAAAAAACGAAAGAAATATATTAAAAGGATAAAAGCGGGTGAATATTCCTGTAGAAATCATACCCCGTGTTTGTCCCCTGGATTGAAGGGTGAGTAAAGCTGACATGCCAAATCACATACATGTGTTCATAAAACAACGTAAATCCACTTTATCCATATATAAAAACCATATGTTTCTAGTACCTTACCTGTTGTAGCCGCTCCCAGCTGGTCCGTTTCTGATGGAGGAGACCAGTTTAGACCGAACTCTGAGGACTCTGAGGAACAGAAGAGCCGTTCTCACTGGAAACACAGCCATCGGGAGTTCAGATCATCCAGTCCAACTTTATTTATATATGCACTTTAAAAACCTTCAGACCAAAGTGCTGTACAAAGAGAAAGCTCAACAAAACATAAAATAAAATACATTTAAACTCAAAGATACAAACACAAAACAAACCAGAATAAACGTAAATAATAAGAAAAATTAAAAACAGCATATAATAAAACATATAGACCACTAAAAGCATAATAAAAGCAACAATCTACTTGCTTACGAATGCTAAGGAGACTTATCAATTTGAAATGATCACACTCAAATCATATTCTGATCTTGATTGTGTGTTTGATGTTTACATTTTATGAACCAGCAGGCTGTCCTCTTGGCTCCGACGACAGGCTGCGGGCTCTGGGAGGGATTGATTTGGGGAAGGGGCTTCACAGCTTGAGCAGGGACGTCTGATCATCACAGAATACCAATAACATGTTTCAGGGGAAAAAGTTCAATAATAACCTGTCAGAGTTGATCATCAATTGCACTTTGAAGCGAGACCAGACCGTCCTTCAATCATCATAGTCAAGTTAATCTAATGTATATCCGAGATCAAGTAACTGCAATGTTTTATTGTGTTTATATTATTTTGCTCATAATACTCAGCATGTATGGACATGTGTATTGACTATAAAATCCTTATTGATCTAAAAAGAAAAGGTCCTATAAGAGGAGAACTCACTTCTCACTCCACTACTATCCTTATATTCTCTGCTTGTTTCCACTTGGCATAGAAGAAAAATAAAAATAGGAATTAAGCTCTAAATTAAGATCAAGTACAGTAATCTAATTTAGAATGTCCTTGTTAATCACAATTGAGCATGAGGTTGTTTTAGTGGAGGTGGTATACCTAGTTCTGTGCGCGTTCTTCTGATAAGGTTGGGAATACTTCTGGAACTGACATAGTGATAACTCCTCGTACTCCATTCCAGCACCATCTCCAGATCGATTTGGGTTGTCCGCAGACCTCAGGAACCTCCTCACACCTCCATTAGTCTCCTGTTCCAAGGCCACCGCTGCAGACACGTAGCTGGGGACGGACACACACAGATGTCACACACACACACATACACACACACACACACACACACAACACACACACACACACACACACACACACACACACAAACACACACACACACACACACACACACACACAGCACACACACACACACACACACACACACACACACACACACACACACACACACACACACACACACACACACCTTAGAAAGATCAAAAAGTAACACAATCGAGGTCAACTATGTCTGGGAAGACTCACATGATTTAGTATAAGGTGCTTTTATTTGATGAACTGCTTGTATCGCCACCAGAAAAGTCAGACATTCTCAGTTTATAACACACAAAGCACTTCAATGCCCACTGCTTCACAATACATGGTCTTCTGTACACTTGTTACCACGGATCATATCAATTGCTGTTTCACACATACCTGCTAAATCAGTGGCATATATCAGTCATTGTAATGAATCCTTAAATGCAAGCACTTTCTAGTCTTTTTCCTTTGGCAATTTGTAAGTCTGCTCTTTGCAACATCACATGTCATTAATAGCAGGCAAAAAAGGAACTTTGGGATTTTAGCCTTTGCAGACCATTTACATGCACACTATACAATAAACAGTAACACACTACAGGAAAGGGAAACCCTTAAAAAGCATATCAAGGCCCATTAAGAAACTATAGTACAGACAAGCCTGTGGGGATTGTCCACAGTATTGAGTATGTAAGTCGCTTTGGATAAAAGCGTCTAACAAGTGACATGTAATGTAATGTAACAAGCCTCTGAATGTTGAAAGGTTTTGACATGCGACTGCACACTGTATATGTGTTAGCAGCACCACTGTGGAGGTATACTGACCCTTGCCCCAGCAGGTGGTGATAAATGAGGATCAGGAGATTCTTCCTCCTGGTCTCAGTCCTCAGCTCGTCCTGTTGGACAGCAACACAGAACACACTCAGCTCTTCAAACACAACTGCTGCATTCATGTCAACAAAATAATTAAAAGTTTGGTTCAATGTGTGATTTTGTTTAGACATGAAAAACCAATAATAAATGTACTCTTGGGTCTTTCACACAGACATGTTTAGTTGTTCCCCTCTTAACTATGGGGTTTGTTTTGGGGAGTTTTCCTTGTATGCTGCACAGTCTGGTCCCGTAAGGCAATTTTACAATTGATGATATTAAACTATATAAATAGTAATGGATCCATGGATTGATGGTAGAAAAGAAGAGGGGGGGTCGGTTCTAAATGCATACTGCAAGGACCATGAAGCCAAAGCAGCTAAAATGTGATTGTTGTCACAGGGGGATTTCCTGTCTGTAGTACTTTACTGTGGTTTTTTCATTATTTATACTGATGAATCACACCTGCGTTTGACAAGTTGGAATGTCACCCGCGAAAAAAAAGTCTAGTAGTAATCTTGATATATATATATATTTGATTACACTTGTACTCCCTGCTACTTTACACATGTGTAGGGCATTATAACGGGGAGTATACTCGGATGCGGACATGCAAAATCCCAGTAGAGGGCGACAAATCGCCACTAATGACAAACACCTGACTGGTATCTAGGCAACCTGTAGACGCTGGTGATTAATGGTAGGTCTGGATGCGTGAAAAACTAGCTATCCTGATTAACTCAACTGCTAACAGCTAATTGTTAAGCTAACTGGCACAGTTCAACGACGACCTGGCCATGTTTTGAATAGTATAACGTTGCTTGCCATATGGGAAAGTTAATTTGGCCATAAGCAATGGAAACTAACGTTAAACGCCCCTCTCCAAAGTGTCTCAGTTGCTAGTGAAGTTAGCTTAAAGTTGTTAGCTTACAAGAAGTTCGTCTACCTGATAGAAAAACACAAATAAGAAAACCCCTTATTCACTCACCGCTTCCCGGGCTTGGTGGGCAACCTTCATAGATTGATATGAAAGCTCCATCTTGTCTCTGGAAGTTTAGTGAGAAGACGTTATGATTAGTAAGCTGTTGTTGGCCTCCACTTGTTTCTGAAGTCTGTTCAGTGTTAGTGTGGGGGTCTGGGTTTTGTCCCTAGGGGCCACCGTACTCTCAGGTGTAGTATCCCCCTGTACACCAAATACTGAAACAATGATAATACAATTATGTACTAGTTTAATTAAGCTTTAGTGTATTATCAGAAAGAGGAGAGGTAGCCGACTTGGAAATGTGCATTGTTTCTTAAAAAAATATATGATTAATAAATTAAATAGCTTTCTAAATGCCTAATTACAAAGCTGCACAAGTGAAAGCATGGGATTGGTTTGGCAACTCTTGGAAAGCCAGTAGGCCTAAGTGGACCTCTGTTTAAGAGGTTATTACTAAGAAAATGTACTATTATGTCAATAGTGACATTGTGTAATGATTCATTCTAATCAGAAATATTGGCATCAGTTGAAAATAAATAACTTGAGCCTTGATTAAGGGTCATGGAATGTCCATACTGAGATGTAAACATATTTCTATCCAAAGAAATCCTATTTTGTGATACTGAATATGTTCACTAGAGGGCAGGGAAGAGCTTTCCTGTGAGTACATTGGAGCTATGTAATAATGAAGGTCCTCTGTTTGCTTCATGTTGTGTTTTATTTTAGCACACCTATTTATGCAAGCCTAATGGAGGTTTTGTGACACTGATTTTCTTTTTGGAATCCTTTATCCAGTTTGTTATATTTTTCTGCATGCATCCCTCGCTCTGTGTCTGTGTGTGTGTTCACCTCCTAAAAGACATATTTGCAATGCCCTGACATGTGTTACGAGGACATTAGCCTGGAAGACAACAAGCGATTAGTCAAAGAGGCCGTCGCCTATCCCATTAAGGGGCAACCGCTGCCCGGCACCCTGGTATTTCAGCTGTGTCGCCCGTCTTCGATTCTGAATACATCTCCTTTAAAGGGCTTGAAGAGAAGGAGGGGCCCTCCTTCTCTTCAAGCCCTTTAAAGGAGATGTATTCAGAATCGAAGACGGGCGACACAGCTGAAATACCAGGGTGCCGGGCAGCGGTTGCCCCTTAATNTTAAACTTTACAAGATAATACAATAAAAATACTCTTTTACGCTTTTAGACCTGTGGCCCTCAGGAACCTTCTTTAAACGCTTTCTACTGGTCATCATGCAGCTCTATTTGCCTGCTTTATATCCACGTATGAGTCTCTTTGGGAAGGAGGTTCCACCTGTTGCCGTGGAATTACGCTTCTTTATCGGTGTTTACCTGAGAGATTTTACGCACTGCAGTGCCCCCTACAGGGGGGGAGGCCACTGTGCCCAAAGGAAAAGGGAATATTTTTTGAAAATTCATTATTGGGAATTAATGTTCTGTTTGATATTTGAGTCCAGTAGTTTGTTTTGTTTTCAACCTGTACGTTTTATATATTTCGTTATTATTATTATGTATTATTATTATTATATTTTTACAGAAGGGGGCAAAGAAAAGATTTTAGTGCTTTATCTGGATAATTAATTTATTAGGGATGTTAATTTTTTGGGGGGAAATCTGTTATTTAAATTAACAAATGTAAAAAAATAAGTAGAAGTCGATAACAGGATCAAATTGTTCAAATAATAATAGGGCTGTCACACGATTACCAATTTTTAATCAGATTAATCACAGCTAAAAAATTATTAATCATGATTAATCACCACAACTAGTCCCAAAAATATGCCATTTCTTTATGTATATTGTTGTAGGAAGATAAGATAAATGAAAGAAGGCGATATATCCATATTCACATACAGTATTTTATGTATGGTTTATTAAATCATTGTTCTGTGTGTCAAAATGAAGACAGCCCACAACCTATCATCATCAAACCGTGGGGTCTTCATCTCATTACGTTTGATTTCTATTCAACACGTAGTGTGTATCGATGTAGTATAGAGATCTACTACAGCAAAAATTATTCTCCGTCGGGACTTCCTGCAACAACCCACGCCGTTATCTTGATTCTGATGGCGAAGACATTATCAAAGATGTTCTATTGAGAAGACGATCACTACGTTACAAAAGTTTCAAAACCGTTTCTTGTCTCGGTATTTCCAGACAAGGTGGCTACTGATAATCAATCTTACTAATTGCTGTCTGCTGCAATTTACTCGCGCGAGGTTGGGCCAGACTTTATTTTGCTTTACTTTGAAGGCGGGTGCGGCGCGGATAGGTGGGCTAAGGTGGGGCTAAGCCATTTCGATTGGTATGGCTGTAGCCATGATCCCAGCGTTTTCCACTTAATTTACCGCCGTTAACGCTGATATTTTGCAGCATTAAATAATACCTTAAGTAATAACAGTATAATTATATAACACTTTTACTTTATTTATATAATAATGCTACTGTTCTAAAACGTTTCGCTTTCTAATTTAGAAAGAAAATCATTGATTTCACTTAAGGGTTAAATATGTTAGGTCATTAGCGTTATTTTAATTTACAGCATTTTACTTTATGACATGTTTCTTTTTACATAACATTCACAGCTGAGGAATTTAGAAACAAAAAAAAAAAAATCCAGAATAACACTTATTTTTTACCAGTTAAACGGAAACACAACTTTAAAGTACCTTTAAACTAAACCTTAACTGTACTAAAGTAAATGAAGTTATATAATAGATTTAATACGAGATTAATTATTTTATTTCTTAAACCTTTATTTAACCAGATAAAAGCATTGAGATAAACATCTAAATTTACCAGATGCTGACGTGGCCAAGAAGGCGGCAACGTTACACATAACCACAAACATTAAAATACAGGAGAACATAACTAAGCAACAAAGACGAAAAAAAGCAGTTACTACATTGTGCACATTAGGACACTAAAAAGTACTTATTACTGCAAGAACAGCTGCGGTGGTAGGGACTTCTGACACTTCAATTTAAAACAGGGCTATAGAGACAAGTGCCGTCAGTTTGTAGGCGTGATTGAAGCGTCATCCAGGACCAAGGGACCTAATAAAAGAGACTCCTTTTTCCAGCATGAGTCCGCACAGCAGGAACTGGAACCGTATCCAGGCACTGATCTGAGGTTGTGAGATCACAAACTGGAGCAAACGCTGGCACATATGTAAGAGGAAGCTTTCCTTAAAAATGGCTTTATACATTAATAAAAACCAATGCTGCATCCTTACGCATAGTGACGTGAGGACCATCCAGTTAGGCGTATACAGTGTGCAATGATGAGTCCTATAGGGTGCATTTGATTATAACGCAGTGCGCATGGTAGAGTGGGTCAAGTTTGGCCAAGGACAAGTCGTGGGACAGGGCAAATCCTATAAATCGAGCGGTGTCACCGTAGCTGCCAGCTGGGACAGGAATAAGCCAGAGACCAACCTTTTACGGGATGAAGTTGAAAAACAACATTTAAGTCTGTAAAGGAAGCCAAGAGTGAATTTCAATTTCTTTGTTAGAACTTCGATATGGTGTTTGAAGTTCAGATTACCGTCCAACCAAAAGCCAAGATATTTATAATTATGAACTCGACCATTAAAACAAATGATCAAGTCACTATCAGTTCACACAACGGACCGTCAATTAATGATTACTAACTCCCAGTTGCTATATATTGATGAACATGCCACAAAATTAGCTGGAATAAACAAAAACGGAAATGTCCAAGTGGTAGTCCGACTGCATTGAAAGCAACTCTTATACATTGCTTTAACGTTATTTTCATATTTTAAATAAGTGCGATAATAAAACAATTATTTTAAGGGATTAACATTACAACAACAAAGGATTTTTGTCAAATAGGATAGGGAAATGTTGGTAATGCTTTTATTTAAGCTCCCCTTTTTAGCATTTACAATTAGCATACAAACATTGGATTAATTTACACTTTGTAACCCACCATTGTTTTGCAACAAGAGCATTATCTACAGCGTTTTCTGCACACAGCTGACGGTCCTCAGACGGTCACACCTGTGAACGTTTGGATGGGCAGCGAGAAGGCTTTGTCCAGATATTTGCTAAAGTCCACAATTGGAACTGAAGATCTTTGGGAGCCGATGTCACATCCTGGGTCCAAACAGGGAGTGATCTCTAGACTGTAAAGGAATAACATTACATTTATATCACTTTCAATCTGCTTACTGTTAAGAGAAAATATCAAAAAAGCAATGTTTGAGTGTCGTAAATGACCTTTGAACGTCAGTGTACGTCCTGCGGAAGTCTTTGTCCAAACACACGGAGAGCGTTCGATGCTCCAGCGTCCGGATGGTGATGCTTTGGGTTTTGATCGTCTAAAATGTAAACAGAAAAGGTTTAGAAAGGTTCAGTTAGAATAAAGTTGTGCAGGAATGAGTCCTAAAAAAACCTGAATTGAGTCAGCATTTTAGCACTTCCTGTTCCCTCATCTGGAAGTTTTTTTTTATGTGTTCTACGCATGGCAATGTTAGTTCCGCATTTTCATTGCGATCCGTTAGCACGCTATTTAGCATTAGCTCAAACTGAAATATAACAGAAATATAATTAAATACTTACTGAGTTGTACGCCGGGTTCAGACTGTCAAACATGACATTAAGGCGATTTACACCTGAAGAAAAAGTGATAAGGATTTTATTTTCTTGCATTGATATACATCTGTAAACGTAGTAAAAATAAAAGAAGGAAAACCTGATGTTAAAGCTGCCGGCTCTGATGTAACCACCACGCCACAGATCATGAGCGCCTCTCCATCTACAACCTGTCGTCTGCTTAGAGAGATCTGATGAGGATATGATAGTTAGCCAATAATCTGCTGAAGTGAATACTAAAAAGAAGGTATTCAAATGACCATTAAATATAAGTCCTGTACCTTTGTGTAGGTGACAGAGATGACTGCTCCGAAGACTTTGATTGCTGGCTTCTTTAGCCGTACAGACGCCTTCCCTGCCAAAAACAACACGTCACTTTGAGTAGCGATGATTTTAATAGTCATAGTTAGTATACAAGGATAAAAGGAGGTCCAGAAACATACTTGATAACATTTCTTTGAGGTGTGTGAACTCTGGGATGTCGGCCTCCAGATGGGACACAAACACCTCCTCCACCACATATTGCCCTTCAGAGCTGGAGCGGGTTATCTAAACAGCAGGAAGTGCATGTGAACCCAACATCCCTCTGCCTTTTACATTTGCATACATGTTCATTATATCACTGTACCTTAACCGAATAGAGCGGCAGGTTGACTGGCTGCGTCCCACAGCGAAGGTAGTAACACAGCGTGTCCAGAAGGAAGTGGTTTTGCACCGGTGACTTGCTTTTGTTAGCCTGCTGCAGTAGAGAAATATTGCAGAGGTGTTAGCTATGGTACTAGCATTTTCAAGATTCAAGATTCAAAGGTTTTAATGTCATAAGCTACAGTGTAGAAATGGCAATTAAAATGACCCGAGCTCCTCCAACGATGCAACATGTATAATAAAATACAAATACAAAATTGTGCAAGAAGCCTATATACACGTACATAGAATATGATATAAACAAGAACAGAATGTAAAATTAAATATTGTACAGTAAGATGAAATTAAATATTGTTTATTGCGCTGATAACTATTTAGATAATGGCTCTATGGATGCAAATGTTAGTGCTAATTACCAAATGTTAGCATCCTTAAACAGTATACTATGTGGTAGATATTGTACCCTCTTAACATTAGCATCTAAGCATTTTCATTGCGAGCATATAAGCACGCTACTTAGCATTAGCTCAAAGCACTGCTCTGCTAGTTAGCATCTCAGCACTTCCATGTTTCGTTGTCTCAAAGTCGTTTTTGATGAGTTGTCGGTTAGATGCATGAAAAATGTAGTGGTTAATACAGGTTTAAGAGGTTTTCCGGTTTTGTTCTAAGCCAAAACCACGTCAGTACCCCTCTGGTGAATTCAAAAACGGCAGTGGCAAAATAAACAACCCAGTCTCCCAGCATTTCGTGTTATACTCACGAAATTTAATCTATTGATTCGTGCTCACCAACACGATTTCCCCATTTTTTTTTCGTGTCACACAGAACGATTTTAAAAGCAATGTAAATAATAACAAATTAGAAGGAAAAAAAGATTTAAAAAATACAGATTTCAGTATTCTGAGGCTCTGAGCGGCCCCATATCTTGTCCTCACGGACGGCAAAAAAAGTCAGACATTATACAATTTAAAATAAAAACAATAATCGTGGCTTGATATTGAGTAAGAAAATGTTTTTATGAACGACACAGCTTCCGGTCTTCCAAGACCCGACCGGACAAAAAGACGTGGTGCAGGCACAAAACCAGGGACGTGCACAGACATTTGGAGGGGCTATTGCTCTGAACTGGAAAAAGGGCCNGGACACACTATAGTATAATATAAACACACACACAGGTTAAAAACACCACATACACCCACACACACACACTTCCATCATCATCACCTGGCCCTCTCTCATGGATCTGATGACAACAAATCAGGTTGTCTGCATCCTCTTGGCATTTACAGACGGAGATGAGGACGGATGTGTCTCTGCTCTGTTCTGCTGGCCTCTGTTATTTGGAATACCACCATCTGTTCACGCAGCATCCCTCCACCTACTCACACTCCCTAACCTCATCCAGATTTGTATTAACTCTCTGGAGTATATAAGGTCAGTTTTGTGTTTTCACTCAGCTTGTGTTTACCACCCAAAAATACCCATGATGTTTATGATGTTGGTTTTGCAGGAGCTGTGATGGATTACTCAGTGCAGTTGAGTTCTTCCAAGATTTCAGATGCGTGTGTTTTAATAAGCAATAAATCAGGCTTGCATTATTTAACTTTGAAAAGCATTTATTTCTTCTGGCACTGTCAGTTTCCATATTTCCCACAGCATATTGTACACCCAAACATCAACATTTAAGGTACAGTGATAATGTTTTGCCATCCATCCATGAGACCACAGTGCTACTGATGCTGCTGAATGGAAACCAAATAACTACAGTTTAGATAGTTATAAAGTATGTTTACTCCCAAAAAACCTTATGTTGTTAAAAATATAGCTGAAAAGGTATTAACTGGGAGATGGTGGATATTATTTGCTTGTAAAGTACAATTCCAAGTGCCTGTGTATAGTGTTTTGTTTTTGCCCAATAGGGCTAGTGCAAAGTCCCACACGATGAAGAGCGGCTGTAGCAAACTCATGTAAACGTACTTGACCACAAAAACGTATATAACAAACTTCAGGAAAAAGCAATATAGGGACGCATTTTTTTGCCAAATAAAAATCGCACACATATTTGAAATGGCTCCTATATTTCTCAGAAGATCTATTGAATTGAAAAAATAGCTGTCTACCAAGGTGAAAGAGAAAATCCAGAATAAAGTGGGGTTGTGAGAAGAACATTGCACTGGGGTGCTGCACAGTAGCTCTGAAGTAGTAGATCACACACCATGACAGAGTATGTGTAATCTTTAAAGCACTGCTGAGCTGAAGTGAACCTGACTATGACTCATTCTGAGCCAAAAAATAGGAAATTGCACACATCATCCAGGCAGCAGTTTACTTCACCACATTAAACAAATATTATTAACAGATAATTGATTGTCAATGAGGGATTTAGAGCCAACTATCAAATGTATTCTTTGAAGCAAACACGCTTATTGACGTTTATTTTTGTGAAATTAGACTTTTTATGGTGACAATTTACACGCTTATAAATATGAAATGGTATTTAGTAAGAAAATAGAGTGCTTTGGCTTTGAATCATGTATTTAAGTTAGTTTCAAGCCAAATTAAGCATATCTGTTTTTAAAGTGATTCCTTGGTCCCCAAACCAGTATTTATCATAGCTGAATCCTTTTTCTTAAGTGATTGTTTACTAGTGAGTGTATACTCAATTGCCAGTTACAAGTGTTATCTGTTTATTCCCAGAATAATGATTTGGCAACCTACTTGTAAATAAAGGTCTTTAGGTCTCCATTCTTTAAGCCAGGTTTTAAAAAAACAAAACACTGAGGACTTCACTGACTATGTTTGAGCTCTCAGATGTTGTGTAGAGTAGAAAAGAAAAAAAAGGAATTAAACACTGTATTTTGGATAGCCTTAACGAGGGGCAAGAACTTGAATCGAGAACCGGTACTTTTTGCAAATTTAGATACTACACTTCCAGGTAGAAATATTTAAACGTGAATAATCTAGCATGGAGTTTCCCTGATGCTAGACTGATAGTGGTCAAGGGGACGGATGTGATGACAAGGCAAACCTTTTGAAATGTTACTGTCCAATTCACCACCGTGCCTCAGAAAACCCCCGTTTCTGTGAGTAGTGTCCCGGCCTCGAGCAGCAGACACTTGACATAGACGCGTACGGTGTAGAACATGGTGAGGAAGTCCTGGGTGCTGAACAGGGTGTCCGCCAGAGCGAATCCCAGCGTGGAGGGGATGAAACCTTGGCCGTACTCCACCATCCACGTCCCGCCGCTCCACTGGACGGATGTCGCCTCTCCTATACTGTGGACGATGGTGTCACCTGTGGAGAAGAGCATCTGGAAGTAAGGGACGAGGAAATGACAACAACATTTTCTCATTCAGATAACATTTTTACAGCTTACATTTGGGTCAATAAGGAAATCACAAATACTAAAACATGAAATGTATTGGAAAAATATTTCATGGTATTACCGGGGTAGTATATTTCACTCTTGGTTGTCCCCTCTTTCCACTGTCTGAAGGTGCCGGATATGATAGTGTCAGAAATCTCAGCCCAGTAACGACCTGACAGCAGGAGAGAGCAGACATGGAGTCACATTTCTATTGGTTAATGACACAGATTGATCCCAAAAAACGAAGGAACACAAATATAGAGTGTACACATCACTAGGAAAAAGACTCAAGTACAGTCTTTATGTAATAAAAGTGTAGGATATATGCTGCATATTACGTTTTCTTTTTCTACATAAATCCTTTACGGTTTCCTCAGTACAAAAGATAAGGCTGCAGGTAATAATATAATGTGTGTGTTCTTCCCCTGCATCATTTACGTTTATGATTGCAGACTTTAACCCCCTTCACTCCTCACCTGAGTGTCCTCCTGTGTCCACTGCAGTGCCAAACAGCAGCAGGTACTCAGTGAGCGAGGCGTGGAGCAGACACATGGAGCCCATCCAGCCACCAGCGTTCACAAAGATCCACTGCAGGTCCTCGTCTGGCAGGATGTGGCCAGGGTACCTAGTTCAGGTACACTTTATTAGCTGTTTTAAATAAAATGCTACACAACTACTTGAAATAATTGTGTTTAAAATATTGTATAACTCCACAACATCAGATGCAGCCCTGTCTACAAAGCAGAGTAAATAACCAAGTTTGGTTGAATTGTAACAGCTCTGCCACCATGTAGCTTTAAAGACAAACATGAATCTAATGACATTTCAACTGACTGAATATGAGTCAATTAAAAACCTCACTTACAAATAAACACCCTGATAGTTAATGCTTCAATGAGGTTTTTTTTATCAGTTGCAGCAACAAATGCTTACATGACAGTAAGTATATTGTACATTTTTGATTAAAAAACAAAAACAAAGTGTGAGTACCTCTTCCTGAGCTCCACCACCACTTTGGAGAAGGCCTGCTCATGGTCCTGTCCTAAGAATACACACATATACTGTTAATTATATGTTATTTGGGCTATTTAAATCGCGAATTTCTACTTTAGACTGCATTTGACTGAACAGCAGGTTAGTTTTGAATTTATGTAGCTATAACACTCCTCAATACCAAACTAACCTGCGTACTGTTTGGCTATTTTGGCTACGTCTTCTTTGTTGAAAACGTACTGCTTGGTGGCCATCCAGTGCCGCAGCAGCAGCACGGTCATGACGGTCACTGCGCCGAACAGGAACAGTTTTAAACACGTTTTAACTATAGGCATGGTTGAAACTAAAATAAAACAGACACACACAACAGCAGCAGCGTTGACTACACGTGTACACAGAGGCAGTAAGGTTGTTTCAAACACGCCATAAGGAGAGGAGGCGTGAGACGGTGGAGACCAACTGACAGCTTCTTCCCGGTCAGTTGGGGAGGGAATTGGCTGCTCAGCCAATCAGGGGAGGAGTTCGTCACTTAGGCGTCAGCAACTTCAGGGTTGCCAGCGAAATGAAAAACCCCCTTTAAGTAGTTTTGTATTTATTTCGTTTGCTTTCACAAAAAGAGTTACAAACTCAAAAACATTTGTATAGTTTGTATTGAATTCAAACCTTTCCGTTTTTTGTATATATAATTTTGTCGTTTTTGCCCTTTTTTCCCCTTAAAATTTCGTCTTCAAACGTCAATGTATCCCAAGCAGCCATATTTTTGTCCCATGTCGATAGACAGGAAGAAGGC